AGTCTGATCACTCAACAGGAAGTACATAACGCGAGGTCAACATTGGCTGGAGATGAGGAACCAGAAGTGATGCACTTGGAATTCCAGCGGCTCCCCGAGAAACAAAATACCCAGCAGTGATGCATGGAAGGTTACCTAGCAGGGGAAAAGGAATGAAATTCTGATACTTTGTTTCATTGTGGGTGAATCCTGAATACATGCTGAGTGAAAGAAGCCAGTCACAAATCACCACGTACTGCCCGATTCCGTTTACACTGAAATGCCCAAAATCTGCAAATCCACAGAGACAGAGTAGACCCGGGGCGGCCGGGGTCTGGGGGCAGGGGGGAGAATAGTTGCTAAGGGTTTGGGTTCCTTTGGGGGGGGGGCGACATCCTGGGATTAGATAGTGATCATTGCACAGCCTGGTGACTGTACTAAAAGTCACCCCACCGCACACTTTAAACATGTGACGTTTGTACCAAGGGAAATACATCTCAATAAAGCTACACAAAAATTCCACAGCGTTCACAGCCGTGCGATCCCTGGGTCTGGGGCCTCTCTCTCAGTTTAGCTCCGCCCCTTCGCAGCCTGGGCGGGGCCGTGAGGCGCCTCAGTGTCCTCCGAGACAGGAAACGAGAAGGGCCCAGTGATACGTCTTGGAGACACTGCGCTCTTCGGCTGCCTGGCACAGAACAGGCCTGCGCCCGTCGTGCGAGCGGGACCGGCGGTGGCCAGGCATCGTGCGGGACACGTGTTCCCGGGCCTGCAGCGAACGCTGGTCTCTGGGGGGGGGGCTGGGGTGGAAGGAGGGCCAGGGGCGAGGGGAGGCGTCTCCCGTGGGTTGGGGTGGGTACCCGTGCTCCCCCGCTGAGGAGCGTGATTACCCTCGAAGGTTGTTGTGATCCTGCAGGGAAGAGTCTTGGGGAAACGCTGGGAGACAGACCATCGAAGAACAACGAGAGGAAGTCCAGAGAACTGTGCTGCTCAGGGGACAAGTCACTTGGGAAATGCAGTCCCTCTCTAAACGATGAAAATCTTTCTCCCTGTTACAGAACGTTATGTCAACCACAAGGGGCTAACGCATCTCTTTCTGCCGCTCACTCTAAGTCTGGCCCAGAGGGCCCACGCCCCACGGCATGCTCGCCCGTCTCGGTGAGGGAGCGGCCCCCACCAGAGACCCGGACCCCCGTGCCCATGTCCACATCCCGCCCGAGCGTTGGGGGGCGCGGGGGCCCCCAGCAGGAGGTGGCCATGGACTTCTTCCCGGCAGCTCCGTCCCAGCGTAGCTATGACCTCCCCTCCCACTGTCCACTCGCCCCTTCGACCCCGGCCTCCCTCAGAGGGCGGGGGGTGGGGCCCACGCTCGGGGACAGGCATCCGCATGTCACTGCACGCCCTGCTCCCCGAGAGAGGGGTGCAGGTTCCAGGGGCAGGGGCATTTCCGGAAGGTTCACTTCTCGTGTGTGTGTGCATCTGTGTGTCTGCGTGTGTTTCTGTGTGTCTCTGCATGTGCTCGTCTGTCCAGAACAAGCCCCCGTGTCCTTTCTACCCACCAAGGGACCCAGGCCAGTCGTCGAGACGCTGAGAGTAACTACGAGGCGGCGGTTTTCAGCCCGTGCGTCCAGAATGTTTAAACCACGCAGCGCCTGGCCGTGTCGTCAGGACACTGACCTCTTTTCCCTTAGATGGTGGAAGAAAAAAAAAAATGACAGCAGCCCACACCACCATGGCCGTCCGGTGTGAATGGCTGGACATTAAACCTATTTTTGGTCAGGTCAGCAGAAGGCCGTGAGCTGGTCGGTGAGCCGCCGCAGAGTGTGAGCAACGCGTTGGGGAGCCCTGAGCCGGGCAGGGGTGACCCCGGCGCTCCGCGGGACCGGCCTGGCCCCAGGCAGGGCGGCGTGCTGTGTGGGCAGTCCAGAGCGCCTCCCGCTAACCCGGCCGATGTGGCGAATTAAGCCGAGACACGGAGCGAGGACAACAGCGCATCACAGGGCTCCAGCGACCCCAAGCATAAAGCAAGGCAGAGGCCCAGAAAGAATTTTTTATAGACCGATCCCCACACACTCTCTGCGGAGGGAGTAAAAGATGTCCTTCCAGGAAGGACGCTGCGTTCTCCTTCGAACTGATTTAAAACCCCGGGGGCGGCGGGTGGGGAGCGAGTCCTTTCCTGTACCTTACCCATCGCGGGGTGAGGTCGCCTGCGCTCCGGTGGCTGAGCTCCTCCCCGCCGTGGTCCGAAGGGAAGGGGGGACCGGGCGGGAGACCCGTGGGAGCAGAGAACGGTGCCGCAGAAAGGGAATGCTGACACGGGTTCGCGGGGCCTGCGGAGCGAGGACTCGGCCCTCCCGCGGTGAAGCGGAACAGGTGGTAGTGCCGAGGCTCCGCGCCCCGCAGCCCCAGAGCCCGCCCACCAGGGCAGGGTCTCCAGGTTCCCACCCCGAGGCCTGCAGCGAGCGAATGGGGAACGGAAAACCAGCCCCGGGGCTGGCGCGCAGCCCTGGGGATCTCCTGGGCCCTGGACGAACTGTGTGCTCACGTGTGTGCACGGGTCGTTCACAGGGACACGCGAGGGAGGTAGTGGCTGGGCCTGGGTAGGGTCAGCGCCACCGCAGCCCCATTAACCTGGCCCAGCCCCGCGGGGGGGTCTCGGATGCACCTGTTAGTCGGGTCCATTTGGACGTGGGATCTGTCTACACCAGCCAACGAGTTTGTTCATCAGCAACTTTATGTGGTTCGTTGACAGGAGTGACCATGTCCCCGAGACTGGGACTTTTCACGGCAGTGCGTGTCCATGACCGTGAGCGCCAGGCTAAACCGAGGAGCTGCTCTCTCCTCAAACAGTGACGGTTGGAAATGCCATCTCCTTCTGAGGAGAGTAAACGTGACTTGTGCGCTGCAGCGCGGCCAGTTCCCAGCCTGCTCATAAATCGAACGATCTTATCTTCGCAGACCAGGACCCTTGGGAGCAGACGGTGTGTACCTCTCCCCGCCAGCCAGAGGGCGAGGAGCTTCAACCACCCCGGGCGGGGAGAGAGAACAGAGACCCGGTCAGTGCTATGAGTGCCCGCCAGACCCCGGCACGGGGGAAGTCAGGGGAATAAATAACAAACAAACAAACAAACCAGTTAGAGTCTCACACATCCAAGACAAAAGTGAAGCAGTGAACCTGGCCAGAGAATGACCCCAGACCCCTACACGCACATTTGATGCATCAGCATGCTGAAGAACACACCTGGACGCTGTTGAACAGTCTGTAGAGACCTTCCCTGAGGTCTCCCCTAAAAGTCCTGCCTTCAGAAAGCAGATAAGAACCCTCAAGACAGAGGACCCCGCACTCCCCCTTGACCAGGCTCACGCCCTCCCGGCCTCAGGCCTGCCCTTGTGCTGTGTCCCCTGAGCTCTCAGGGTCCCCTCGAGGCCTGCCGCCGGGGGAGCAGTGGGCCCCAGCAGCTGTCCAGGGCTCACCCCCTGACCCACCTCCAAGGGCCCCCCTTTCTGAGTCCACGCACCCCGGCCCACTCCTGCTGCTGCGGTCTCGCCTCTTCTGTCCTAAGCCCTTCCTCCGTTTCACTCTCTGCAGCTTTGATGAACGCGCTCTCAGAGTCCCCTGGACTCACGTCGTGAAGTCTTCCTGCACAGAGTCAAGAACCCACACCGGGCTGGGGCAGGTGTGACTCGGACCCGGTCCCTCTCCAGTGACAATGGCAAGCCTCATGTTTCTCTCCCTCCAGGCTGGCAGGACAGGTCGGGGGGCCCAGGGCCCCCTCGGCCTGCTGCCGAGGGCCCTGTCCTTCCAGGCTGGGAGGTTCTGCGTGGCTTCCAGAGCTTGTTGACATCCCGGCTCTGCCTAACCGTGGCCTTGCCCTCGTCCGGCTGGGCCAGGAAGAGCCTTCCTGGAGGCTCTGAGGACCGTGGCGGCCATGCGTTGGGCACACTAGTCGGCAGTGCAGGGTCCCGGGCCCCCTGCGACGCAGAGGAGCTGAGAGAGGCACTCCTCACGCGCCCTCCAGTGCAGACGTGCCCAGGTCGGCGCTGAAGCCAGGCCCGGGTACCTGGAGGCCCCGCAGTGGTCTGCCCCACCCCGGGAGTGCCTGTAAGCACACAGGACAACGGCAGGGGTGGCCGAGGACCTCATCACACACAAGCACTCCTTGGGGATGTCGCCAAATAGCTGTGGGGGCACTGGGGGAGGGGCTGAAGCCCAGAAAGACGCGAAGCCCACCGTGGCAGAGGTTGAAGCCAGATCCCAACGAACCCTGTTCGTGTCTGCTAATGCGGCCCCGTGGCAGACCCCTGGCTGACGTGGCTCTGAAGCCGCAGACTCTCACTTCGGGCCAGGCATGTAAAATACATTGTGGGCACGTTCTATTCTCTCTGCGGCTGTTTCAGGCCCACCCTTCAGTGCGGTCTTCCTCACTGGGAGTCCGCAGATGACAGTCGCACAAAAACCAAAGGTGCACGGCCGCCTGGACGAGCTCGGGCAGCCCCGGGTGCGGCCAGTGCGCACAGACGCCGGGGAAGTGCGTCTGACCAGGGTCCCGGGGCGGTCACACCCACAGGCATCGGCCAGCACGCCCGAAGCTCATGACACGCAGATGTGAAGACAAAGATGCCCACTTGTTCGTGCACCTTTAGATTTATGCCCACCCAGGTGGCTTGGGACCCCCGACCCCTGGCCGACAAATTCTCCCTCTGCAGGAAGACTCCCGGGAAGCCCTTTCTAACCAACCAGGGGCGGTCACGCGAGTGTGGAAGCACAGGGAGGGCTCACCTGCTCCTGGCAGTTGGCCGGGGCCTCTGACGTCACAGGGGGACACCTGGGCAGGTCAGAACTGAGGAGGGGACCCGCGTTCAGGGGGCGTGCTAGGATGGGCCCCCCCATGCCCACCCCATCACTCTTCCACTTCAGACGCCCCTCCTGCCTATCCCATCATTTCTCGTGCGAAGCCCATGCAGCAGCTGCTAAAAGGGGAAGGTGCGGACTGGATCGCCAATGTACCCGAGGACCGACTTACCAGGCTGTCGCCTCACCGAAGGAGCCTCGAGGTCCCGGGGCCACTAGGCCTTCTGGTCAAGATGTCAGCCAAAGAGCGACAGGACAAGCCCGAGGAAAGCAGGAGGGAGGGATCAATAAAGATAAGGCAGACACCTGTTCATTGGAAAACAAAGGGTAAAATGCAGTTGTTTTTGACAGCGTACAAGAAAGGAGATCACCTGCTATCTAACCTAAGACAAAAATGAATAAACAGATATAAAACACTGGGAACAAGCCCTGGCTGGTGTAGCTCAGTGGATGGAGCTCGGGCTGCAGACCAAAGTGTCACAGGTTCAATTCCCAGTCAGGGCACATGCCTGGGTTGCAGGCCATGACCCCCAGCAACCGCACATTGATGTTTCTCTTTCTCTCTCTTTCTCCCTCCCTTCCCTTTCTAAAAAAATAAATAAATAATTTAAAAATTAAAAAAAAAACTGGGAACAGGAAATAAAAGAGAGCCATAAGTCCTGAAGACATGTTTGAGATGTATAGGAGTATGCCTCACATGATACACTTTAACATTTGCATTAAATAAACCATCTTCTAGGAAAATAGAAGTCATTGAGATGCCCTCAAAAAGACGTACAAAATAAGAAGCCCAAACCTACGGGGGGCTCACTTTTAACATTGCAGAAAAAAGCCCCGTGGAAGATGCCCGTGGAAACAGAGGTGAGGCCAAGTGTACGCCCCCCAGGTGCAAGGGCCAAGCACGGACCAGCACGCCCAACGGAGGCAGGACACGCGATCTCCCCCGCAGCACACCCCTGTGTGGGGTGCAGGCCGGGCCATGAACGAGACCCAGCAAACTCAGGGATCTCCTTTACCAAGCCCGCTCTCTGACCACGGTGGAGGCACGGCAGGCGTCAAGAACAGGTGGACCCGGGAGCTCTCCTGGGAGGAAATCAAACGACACGCTCCTAAGGAAGCACTCCACGGGTCAGAGAAGGAGTCAAGAGGAAAACACAAAACACTCCGAGACGAATGGACACGGGAAGACGGCACGCACACGCCGAGGGGATGCGGCCGGAGCGGCGCTGGGAGGGGAGGTCAGAGCAACTGGAAACACCTGCGCTCCAGAGGCGTGATGGCACGTCCCCCACCCCGCCGCCCGCCCCAGGAAACTAGGGGGAAAAAGGGCAAAGAAAACACAGAGTAAACAGAAAGAAAGGAAGGAAATAATAAATATCAGAACAGAAATAAGTAGAATAGGAAAACGCTAATCAGTAAAAGTCGGTTCTCTGAGGGGATAAACTAGAGTAATGAATCCTAAGCTGATTGGGCAGGAGGAAAAAGAGGGAAGACAGAGATTACTAAGGTCGAGAATTACAGCAGGGCATCGTTACCAATGTTGCAGAAATGAAAAGGGTTCTGAGGGGTACTGTGAACAAGGGTGTACGTAAGCGTATGTGTGGCTGGATGAATACACATACATGGGAATTACCGGATAGGAAAGGATTTTCCAAGCAGGAGCCATAAAGAAAAGCCTGGAGTTTCTCACACAAAAACATCAAACTTCTGCATATAACCTTACTGAACCAACCAGAACAAAAACTGAGTAAACAACGTGGGAGGTATATGACAAAGAGCGTTACACCTAAAGAAAGTGTGTAGATTCATCAGGAGACAAGCGTCCCACAGTGAAAACGGCACAGCAGCGGGAGCGGCACCTGGCACCGCCTACAGATACGAAACACCGACAGTCAGCGAACGTGGGGGAAGTCAAGTTCGGCAGGAACACACACAAATAGCGAACCAAAGAGGCGACAGTTTAGCACGTGACTGGGGTGAGTTATGGATACTTTCCACACCCATTATTTCCTTTCTTAAAATTTAATTTTTGTTTTATCAAAATAATGTACGTGTGGTTTTTTACAGTCACTGACAAAAGTTTCCCCCCTGGAGAGGACATCTGGGCCCCAGTGGTGGTGCAGCTGAACCAGGAGGGCAAGGGCAGGACCAGCTGCAAAGACAAAGGGCCCCCTGCTCTGCCGCTGACCAATCAGGGGAGCCCGTGACCCTGAAAGGACACACCTGGGGGACTGACGCAGGTTCTGCGGAGACCCTCCCCCAAGACCCCCCCCAGGACCCCGCCTGCAGGAGAGGGATGCAGCAGAGAGACCACGGCCGCTGACGCCAGTCCCTTCCCTCCCTTCTCCTCCCACTTCTCTCCCCGCCCCCCCCAGGGCAGACGCCTCCTGAACTCTGGGGCAGGGGGCCCCAGGCCGATCCCCCAAACCTGTCCCCAAGCCCCCTTTTCCCTGACCCCCCAGTGAGCTCAGGCAGCCCCGCCCGGGGCCGCCCCCGCTGTGCCGAGCCCTCCCTTGTCTCACCATCCCAGCTTCCATGCATGTGCCCCCAGTCACAAAGTCACGTTGCAGGGAACTGTCTTCTATGGAAAAATAGTATGTGAAAACTAAGTTTTAAAATTGTCCATATAAGCCCTGGCTGGCGTAGCTCAGTGGATTGAGTGCAGGCTGGGAACCAAAGTGTCGCAGGTTCGATTCCTGGTCAGGGCACATGCCTGGGTTGCAGGCCACGGCCCCCAGCAACTGCACATTCATGTTTCTCTCTCTCTCTTTCTCCCTCCCTTCCCTCTCTAAAAATAAATAAATAAAATCTTTAAAAAATTATCCGTATAATATGATCTCAAAAGTATGTGTTTGTTTAGGCATAGAAAAATATCAATAGTGATTCATTACCTCCAGGTGGTGTGACGACAGAGAGCTTTTCTTTTCCTTTTGTGTTCTTCTATATCTTCCAAATTTGCTCTCAAGAAGTTTTCTATGGTTTTTCTCTTTTGGTAATGGAGGAAAAGGTTATTGACAAAAACATAGGTTATTGAAAAAAGTATAAAGGTTTATATTGCCCAAGTTCACACTTCTTCTTTTCTTAAGATTTTATTTATTTTTAGAGAGAGGGGAAGGGAGAGAGAAAGAGAGGGAGAGAAACATCAGTGTGTGGTTGCCTCTCTCACGCCCCCTCCTGGGGACCTGGCCCACAACCCAGGCATGTGCCCTGACTGGGAACCGAACCGGCAACCCTTTGCTTTGCAGTCTGGTGCTCAGTCCACTGAGCCACACCAGTCTCTGATTTGTCAGTGAGTGTTAGTTTTCTTTTCTAACCTAGAACTCATATGACTTACAGGAAACCCTTCTGGCATTGGGCGGGGGGGGGGGGGGTCTCTATTCTTAATGTTTCTTTCTCTGCTCCCAAGGACAGCAGAACTCACTGACTTGCCCGCAGCCTCAGCGGCAGCCCCGCGGTCCCAGTGGGCACGGGTCTCTCCCATGGGCACCGAGACGCAGCGCCTCCTCTGCGTTCACGGGGCTCTGTTTCTCTCCTGCCCCCTTTGAAGGACCTAGAACACCGAGTACCAGTGACTTAATTAAGGAAGCCGACAGTGGCATTGCTAAAGAAGGCCGTCGTCGCTTCACACGAACATTCTCGAGCCACAGGCGTCACCGTTTGGAGGGTGCACCTACAAACCTGAGGAAACGCACCTGTGCCCACAGCGCGCTCCGAGCCAAACTGGAAAGTCGTCCCAGAAGATAGCAGGTACACTCGCAAACCTCCCTCCAGAGGAAAAAGGAACAGACAGAGGGCCACCCAGCCCTAACGGTGGTGTCAGAGACCGTTAGATTTAAAACGTGTGCCCAGGCCTCAGTGATGACGTGGGTCCTCGATTTGGGGACCTGGGAACAGTACATAAAATCATCCCGGAGCATCAGAATCGTCAGTGGACTTCCGGAGTCCCAGCCCGCACCCGCCAGGGCGTCTTGTAATCGGGAGGCCACGTACGGGGTGGGAGACGGTGCCGGCTCCAGACGGAGGCAGAAATGAGGTTGCAGCCCCAGCCCTGCCTGCCTGCGTGACCTCGGGCGACTGGTCACCTTTCTCTCTCTGAACTCCTCGTCTGTGCGAAGGGCACAGAAACACGGAACTTGCAGGATGCCGGGGACGTGCAGTGTGAGAACATACAACAAATCTCAGGGGCAGGGCCCGAGACCCTCCCCCAGTGATGGTCCTGAGCGATGGGGGGTGAGCCGGGGCGGGGGGGTGACGCCCAGGGACCAGTGCTCTAGAGAGAAGCGGAGTGGACTTGGAGAACCGGATAGACGCAAACGAGGGGGTGCTGTGAAGAGGCATCCAGTTCCTCCCTGGAGAAAATAGCAGAACGGTTCCTAGAGTGATCATGGGGTTAGAGCCCTGGGTGACCCTGGGCAGCGGTCACATCTGATGGAGCCGACACTCGTGTTCACGGGGACCTTCAGTTCATCCCTCTCTTCCACGCTGAAGCCCACACACAAAACGTGGCAAAGAGGAATGGCCGTCCCCAAAAAGGCTGGGGGAAGGGAGCGTCGCTTAGACATGTTAAAGGTGTTCTTGCAGAAAAGCAGAATTTCCTTGAACGAGCACATTCTAAGATTGACCCCGAAGAAGCTGATCATTTTCTAGAAAGTTGCTCATGGCTAGAAAGTGAAACGAGAAGTGAAAAAATGTGGGAATTCATGTTGCTGACCCATGGCCCTAAAAAAAAAAAATGTTGCAAGAGGCACATTCACATTCTCATTATTGATCACGTTTTCAGTTAACAAACTGAAATGCCTTCGCAGCTGGCTTTGGATCTAGAACTGAAACCAGTCAGGGGGCGCAGTGGGGCGGCTGTGGGTTCGAGGGTCCGAGTTTAAGGTGGATTTCCTGCTCTGCATTTCCAGTTCCCGGAGGGTGAGCCATTCAGTTCCTCGCGAGGAAGGGCGATGGAGAGGCCCCCCTCCGGCCGCCGCCCAGCCCTGGCATTGCGCGGCCGGCCGGCCGGGAAAGCTGCAGGCGCCGCTCCAGCCCCGAGGGGCCTGCGGAGCTGGGGGAGTACGGGCTGTGGAGGCCGAGGAGACTGTGCAGTGGGGAGGGGGCGCTGCAGGCACAGCTTGGGGTGCAGCCGGTGCCCCAGAGTCTGGGGTGGGGGGAGTCAAGGGAGGGGCTTCTGAAAATGGACTTAGAGCGTCAGACGTGGGAAAATGTCATTTTATTTAACAACAGCAGCAACCATGGAAGTACAGTGTCTGATGTCATTCGATTGTGACATTTCCTTGCCCGTGGGGTTACTTTATCGTCATGAAAGAAACACAGTGTGACCATCACCGTCCACAAACGGCAAGTCAGTGAGCTGGCGCTGCGCAGGCCAGGAGGAAGGAGCGTCTGGACGCTCTCCATGGAACCGAATCGCCCGGCCCCCCTGCCTTCCAGAGCTGGCTCTGCCCCGCATCGCGATGAGAATGGGGGAGGGGTCCCCATGGGGACGCGGTGGTCGGCTGTCACTGGCACAGGGCTCTCACCTGACGGAAGTCGGTCTACAGCTGAGGTCCGACTGGCGGTCCGGCCGGCGAGGCCAGAGTTTAGCGTGCCTCTCGTTCATATTATTAGTATCACGGGGTGGGGGAAATATTTCATGATGCAAGTGCAATTTTTAAAAAAATCTCTCAGCGTACAATCATTGCAGAGTCGCTATTTTTGTGTCCGGTGAACATATCACCTAAAACTCCGCAACCGTCACGGTCGAATAAAAAGCCTTGGTCAGCCTGGCCGAACTGCTGACCCTCAGCTTTTTACAATTCTGCGGCGGACGGCCAGCGTGTCCAGTGGGGGCTGTGCTCTGTGTTGTGATTCACGGCCGCTCGGAGCCGTAGGTCTGGAAGCTTAAAATAACAGACAAGGAGGAGGGGGAGGGGGGCCTCCCCGTGACTTGCACACGGCCTCACCTTGCCACGCACGGCTCTTCCTTTGACACAAGTTGCGGTGCCCGCACCTTTTGATATTCCTCATCAAAACGCACTTTCTCGGCGCCTGTCCCATTTCCAAGGGGCGTCGGCTAATCCGTGCCACTGAGCCCTCTCTCATTCACAGACCTTTTAACTGCGGCCGTTGCCTTAACTCAAAGGAAAGCATCCAAGGCTGGGATTTCAAGCCAAAGGAGCTCCCGGCTCTGAAGTGCCGTTCTTTGTTCCCGGATGCACGGGCCTGCATTCAGACTCCTCAGAGGGAGACGTTGTTGCGTTTCATCTGTTTGCGTTTGCAGCGCCCAGAGCGAGGCCCGTGCCCCGGGAAGGGTCCACAAATACTCGGGGAATGAAAGCAGGAACGTGTGGACGGAGCTGATGCGGGAGACCGTCCGTGGCAGGTCCCGACCGTCCTCGATTATAAAGAGAGTGTGAGCCCTGGCTGGCATAGCTCAGTGGATTGAGCGTGGGCTGCGGACCAAGGCATCGCAGGTACGATTCCCAGTCAGGGCACATGCCTGGGTTTCAGGCCAGGTCCCCAATGGGGGCCACACGAGAGGCAACCACACATTGATGTTTCTCTCTCCCTCTCTTTCTCCCTCCCTTCCCTTCTCTAAAAATAAATAAATAAAATCTTTTAAAAATAAAATAAAATAAAGAGAGTGTAATGCGGGTCTGGAGAGCCGGGCTGGTGTTAGACTGGTGTGTCTCCGTGCGGGTGGGAGTCCTCACTCATCCTGACCGCAAGCACGGTCATCAAACAGGGAACAATTTCCCTTCCGTTTGAGAGACTGAGGGGGAGAGAATTGCCCAGTCTCTCTCTCTCTCTCTCGCGCGCACACACACACACACACACACACATGCCCTCCAGCCCTGCGCCATCTCCCCAGCAGCCATCAAGAGCCACACACCTCCAGGTGCCTCGCAGTGCTGAAAGGAGAAAACCGCCCAAAGACGCGAGGACACTGTGACTCCCCGAATGAAGGGTTCCCCCCGGGAGTCGGGAAAAGAGTGCGTGTGGATATCTTCCCCTCCTTAAGCATCCCGCCCTTTAAGTAAAGGTCGGGTTTCACGCAGTCCCCGGGGGCCCAGCTTGTCCTCTCTCCCTCACTGCTGCCCTGGACCGTTTGTCAGTGAGCAGCTGACTCCGGGGAGAGGGGCAGCCAGCCGGAGCCTGGCCTTACTCCGGCACCGGATCTTCTGGATGGCCAATCCGTCCGCGGCCCGGCAGCGCCCCCCTTGCTCCGCCCCCAACCCCCCCACAGCACAGATGGCTCTCAAAGGCAAGGTGGTGCGGTGCAGAAAGCAGCTCTAGCTGCAGACACGCCCAGGTCCAGGTGCGTGTTCACCTGCTCCCGCTGTGACATGACATCTAATTCTCAGTCCCCCCATCTGTGACGTGGGGGTGGGGACCCTGGCTTTGCCGAGTTGCATCGGTCAGCAGGGCCACAGGGAGCATGGCTGAGGGGTGGTCTGGGGCGGGGTTCCTGGGGCTCCAGCATAGCGGAGGGTGGGCTAGCCCCAGAAATGGCCCCAGAAAACTGATGGTCTGTTGAAACAGGAGTCCTGAGTGGAGACTCCCAGGAGTAGCCAGTCCCACACTTAGGAATAAATTTGTTTTCTTACATGAGCAACTCTGTGTAGAAAGGCAGCTTGAAGGCAGGTGGTGGCTGGGTTTGCTACTTACTGGCCCTGGGCTGATAGCTCGCCCCAGCTGGCCCGGGACAAGTGATTCAGGGAGTCCGGAGATGTTCACTCGCCCCCTTCGGGTGCTGTCCCCAACGCCAGCGGTCTCCAAACCCCGCGTCGCCAATGGCATGTCACGGCTCACTAGGTGCCGGCCTGAGATTTGGCCCTGGCTGTGGGGTCGCTTTCCCTGTGCCCTGGCAGAGCTGCACGGCCACGGTCCCTGCCCTCCTCTGTGCCCGTGGGGCCGACCCAGGGGACTGTGTGCGCCTGTGCGAGTCGGACGGGAGGCCAGCACAGGGCGACCAACATCCTCTGGTCCCGTCCTGTGTGGGC